TCATTTGTGATCCTATTTATTTGTGCTTATTCCCATTTTTCTTTTGTGAGTCTGGCTAGGAGTTTATCTATTTTATTTATTTATTCGAAAAAACAACTTTTGGTTTCATTGATCTTTTGGATTTTTTTTTAGTTTCAATTTCATTTATTTCTGCTTGATTTTTATTATTTCTTTTCTTCTACTGTTTTTGGGGTTTTGTTATTTTTCTAGTTCTTTGACCTTTGGGATTAGGTTGTTTCTTTGAGTTCTTTCTTGTTTTTTGATGTGAGCCTCTATTGCATGTGTTTTCCTCTTATTACTACTTTGCTGCATCCCATACATTTAGGAAATTGGTGTCCTCCTTGTCATTCAACTCATTTATTTTTTTAATAATAAATTTTATTTTATATTCCCCATACAATTGCAACCCCCTTATTTTGACCCCAATCCTCCCCTCCCGCCCCCTACACCCCATAGAGTGTCTCTGGTTCATAGTTTTTTGTTGATTTTGATTTTCACTTTCTTATAGTTATTCATTTTCCTGGTCCCTTATTTAAGTTTTCTAGATTCCTGCTATGAGTGAGACCGTCCGGCATTTTTCTTTTTCTTTCTGGTTTATTTCGCTGAGCATGATCCCTTCCAGCGCCATCCATGTTGCTGCAAATTGCATGTATTTATCTTTTTTTGAATGCTGAGTAAAATTCCATGGTATATATGTACCACATCTTCTTGATCCAGTCATCTATTTTTGGGCATTTGGGCTGTTTCCAAAGCTTAGCTATTGGAAACAGTGCTGCTATAAACATAGGGGTGCAGGTGCTCTTTGGAATTGATGTTTCTGTGTCCTTTGGGTAAATACCTAGGAGTGGAATTGCTGGATCATATGGAAGCTCTATGTTTAGTAGGTCCAGAAATCTCCACACAGCTCTCCATAGTGGTTGGACCAGTTTGCACTCCCACCAACAGTGCAGAAGATCAAATCAAAGTATTTTTAATTTCTTCTTTGATCTCCTCATTAGTCCAGTGGTCTTCATTAGTGTGGGTTTCAATCTCCGTGAGGTTGGAGAGTGCCTTGCCTTCTTTTTATGGTTTATTTCTAGTTTGATGCCTTCATGATCAGAGAAGATGGTTGGTATGATTTCAATCTTGGTGTATCTGTTGATTTTTGTCTTGTGTCTCAGTATGTGATCAATCCTGGAGAATGATCAATGTGAACTTGAGAAAAATGAGTACTCAGATTTTTGGGGGTTAGCGTCCTATAGATGTCTGTTAAGCCCATGAGCTCTAGATCCTTATTTAAAGCTTTGGTGTCCTTACTTATTTTTGTGTCATTGATTTATCCATTGTTGATAGTGGTGTGTTTAAGTCTTCTACTATATATATGTTTTCTCTGATATCTGTTTTCAGAGATGATAATAGTTGTTTGATATATTTTGGTGCTCCTTCATTTGGTGAGTATATGTTAATGAGTGTTATTTCTTCTGAAGTATTGTCCTCTTGATCATAATGTAGTGGCCATTGGGGTCTCTTTTTACCTTTTTGGGTTTAAAATCTGTTTTATCTGATATGAGTATAGCTGTTCCTGGTTTTTTTTGGTCCATTTTTATTGTAGGATTGTTTTCCATCCTTTAACTTTGAGTCTGTTTTTATCCTTTGTAGTTAAATGTGTTTCCTGGAGACAGCGAAAGGTTGGGTTTTGTTTCTTAATCCAGCCTGCGACTCTGTGTCTTTTTATTGAAGAGTTTAGTCCATTTACATTTAGAGTTAATATTGATATGTTACCATTTGTATTTGCCATTTTTTTTGTCTTCCTCTGATTTTATTTATTTATTCTTTTAATTACTTTCTTTCTTGGCCTTGTTTCATTGTTATTCATCCCTCTGTTGGTTCTGGCTTTAGGACTCCTTGTAGTATTTTTTGGGGTTTAGTGGGGGTTTAGTTATAATGAAATTCCAGAGTTTTTGTTTGTCTGGGAAGGTCCTTATTTTTTCTTCATAGAGGAAGGGAAACTTTGCTGGATAGAGTATTCTTGTTTGTCATTTGTTGTCTTGGAGTCTGTTGACTATGTCTCTCCACTCTCTCCTTGCCCGTAGTGTTTCTTTGGAGAAATCTGTTGTCAGCCTTATTGGTTTTCCTTTGTATGTTATCTGTTTCTTCCCTCCTGTCAGCTTCATTATTTTTCCTTGTCTTGGATTCTTGGGAACTTTACTATTATGTGTCTTGCTGTATTTTTTCCTTTCATCATGTAAGTTTAATGTTCTCTTGCTTCTTGTATGTCTATTTTCAGCTCCTTCTTCACATTTGGGAAGTTCTCTTCAATTATTTCCTTGAATATTTTCTCTGTTCCTAGGTCTCTCTCCTCTCCTTCTGGGATTCCTAAAACTCATATATTTCCTTTCCTCATAGAGTCAGATAGTTCCTGAAGTCTTTCTTCAGTCTTTTTCATTTGTACCTCTCTTTCTTTTCTGTTTGGTTCTTTTTATTTCTGTATCTTTGAGAGTGCTTATTCATTCTTCCATTTCATCTATTCTGTTATCACTGCTTTTCCCAGAGTTCTTTAGCTCTTCCATTAATCCTTTGATCTCCTGCATTTCCTTCACTTCCCTCTTTAGGGACTCAATTTCGTTCTTGTGATTGTTGTTTTCCTCAATGACTTCTGTCAGTTTTTTAATCATGGCTATTTTAAATTCTCTTTCTGGAAGGCTCAGAAGTTCTTCCAAGTCACTGTTGTTGCAATCTGGTGGGTGGTTTTCTTTTTGTGGTGTGTCTTTTACTGAGGACTTGCTTGGGTGCATGTAGTTTTTCTTTTCCCTGCTGCTTGTTTTTTAATTTTCCTATGCATTGGGATTCTGTGTCACTGGTACTGGCCGGTATCTTTTTGGTGTGCTCTTTCTGGGATGTCAGAAACTAGTAGTCCATTCAAGTCAAAAACTGTTATGTCTGAATTCCGAAAGACCAGTAGTACTATGAATATATTAGTTGTCCCTGTCACAGGGACTCTCCTCCAAATCAGTGGATCCCCGCTGGGCTCAAACTGGTGGCCAGATGGGGCTGGGCTTGTGGGGCTTTTCAGCTCACCTTAGCTGTAGGCGCAGCCCTCTCCCAGATCCATGCATTCTAGGTGTGTTGCAGTCACACAAAATGTCTCTGATCTAAACAGCAAGTTGGGAGGGCACTTCCGTGCACCCTCCATCGCTCTGGTGCTGACTGGATCCCCCTCTGGGCTCTGGCAGCCAGATGGGGACTGGCTTGTGGGGGCTTTTCAGCTCACCTCTGGCTGTGAGCGCAGCCCTTTTCCAGCTCCACACAGTCTAGATGTGTTGCCAACATGCCAAAGGTCCTGATCTAAGATGGGGAGTTGGGAGGGCACTTCTGTCTCAGTTTCTTGTAGGTCTTCTCTCTGCTTGTCATTTCTCTTCCATTCACATTATTTAGTGGGATTGCAACATTAATATTCCGGTTCATCTACTGATTTATTCATTTCTATGATATCTCTAATTTTTAATAACTCTTATTCTGAGCACATGAAATTTATGAAATCTTTTTTTTCTTTTTTCTAGTACTAGAAAATAACCAACATTCCCTATATATGCATAGGGAATCTGCATCTCAATAAGTATCTGAAATCACTGTGTGAAAAGAGGGTGTGTCTCCTGAGCTAAGGAGTGAGATGGGGCCTGGGACCTCCAGGAGAGAAGAGGTGTTCACATGGCAAGGAAAGTGTGGCTCATATGATGAAGAACAGATGTTCTGTAATTATGTTTGCCCAAACATATATGTAGGTTTCTCAGATACAAAGCTCGTTTCTGGTAATAACCCTAATTTTGGTAAGACCACCAATTTTCATACTAGGTAGTTATAGAAGTGATAAACATTTCTTAAGATGAACCTTGATGAACCTTAGATGGAGATAATTCACATGCCAAAGTGCCTGTCTGGGGGACACATTACTCAACATCTTGGGAGGCCTGTCCTTCAGAGCATCATAAATGAGGGGAAGAGCAGATGAGGGTGAGGATGGGCCAGGACCAGGAGGCAGATTAGGCTACAGGCCTCCTCAATGTGGTTGGGTCCTGGGGCAGGACGTGGAGGGGCACTGAGGGAAAAGGGACAGACTGGTCTATGGGGCCAGAGCACTTGTGTCAGGGGTGGAGTGACAGATGTGGGGAGAAGTAAAATCTGTTTTCCTTATGCTTTCTTGTTTTTAATATTTTCTTCATCTCTCGATACTATTGATAATAGTGTTAGGGCTCCTTCTTCTTTGCTTTCACAATAAGCACTCTCTGCGGGGACCAGTCTCCAGCAAAATGTCGTGTCAGGGGTTCCTGAAAGGATGAGACAGCGTCGGCGTAAACGAAAGGACTGAGGGGAAGGGGATGAGGTAGAATGAGGAGACACTGACACTTGGTGCTAGTATCTTCTGCTGAGAGGCTTAGCAGGTTCTTTATTTATACATTTTTGCAAGCAGTGAGATCACATTATCATGTGCATAGAAACAAAGCAGAAACAATCAGTGCATCTCTTTTCCATAAACTTTTGGCCACTATGTGCTCTCAGCAAGAAGGCAACCTTCAAGGTTAATAAAAAAACTAAGCCTTACATGAGAACTCATTGTTTCAGCTATACAATAACCTAAGACAGTGGATAGCCACCAGTACATCCCTATCAGCTAAAGCCTAAGCAAGAAAAGACTTTTCTTATTCTCATGGCCTTCACAGCAGGGGTCAGCTGCTACTCAGCTATCAGAACTTTTTCTACCTAGAAACTCCTTAACTCAAATAGCTTCATTTAAAAACCTTCCCAAGAAACTTCAAGGGAAGGCAAAAGAAGGACCTACTATAATAGTTGTATTGTAATGCTTGTCAGGCATGTTCAATAACTTGTCTCCCATTGTCAAGTGGGCCAAATGTTTAATAATTAGTTTCTAACAGATAATTTCCGTGCCGTTTATTTGCAGTATACTGATGCATATAATATAGTGCCTAATGTACTTTTGGGAATTTTTTTTTTTTATGACCAAGAACAAAAAGTGAAGGGATGTTAAATCTTCAGCCCCAAGTTGTGAGCACAAGGAATCTTCGGCCCCATGGTGTGAGGCCCTTTAGCTTCCTGCTTGCCAGTGTCTTATCTGGCTGGGGCAACAAGGCCTCCTGCAGCAACTCTCCTTACTCCCAGCACGGGACTCAGGTGAGATTTACACGTGTCTTTGTCACCTTTACTCAGGGTCCACCTCTCATGACAGTGTAAGCTAATGTCTCCAGGGGCCTCTCTCTGCTCCCCATTGTATCTGCAGGGAGGCAGCTTGGGAGGCAGGAGCCAGCCAGGGAGAGGGATGCTGGAAGTGAAGAGGAGGCAAAGGCAGAGAACACTTGGGAGTTGCTCCCTGGTTTCCTGAGAAAAACATTTCTCAAAGTGTGGTCTGTGGAGACCTTGAAGTCACCAAAAACCTTTCATGGGATTCCTAAAGTAAAACTATTTTCAAAACATCACTTAGACACCATTTGTCTTTTCACCATTTTGGCATTTGTTGGTAAAAATTCAGTAAGAGTGGAGCTTATAGCACCACTGCAGAAGCAGTAATTCTTCACCAGCACTTACCTGCAGGAACAAACATTAAAACTAGTTTCACTTGAAAATGTCCTGGGAAAGCATTAAAAGTTATCTTCATTATTGTGTCATCCTCAACTCCACATTTTAAAATATGTGGTGTGCTGACCTGAAGGATACACAGAGCACTTCTGCAGCATTCCCAATCACTGGTCCCAAGGAAAAAATTTGTATGAGATGAATTAGAATTTTTTATTTGTGGGCAACACCAATCTTACCTTAAGGGATGAATGACAAAAACTAAGGTTATTTTAAATTTCTCCCTACCGCCCCCAGGTTCCCACTCACTGAGGTGTTTCCACACCGTGATGTCCCGGCCGGCCCCGGGGAGCCCACTACATCGCTGTGGGCTACGTGGATGACACGCAGTTTGGGCGGTTGGACAGCGACTCTCCAGATTGGAGTGCGGAGCCACAGGCGCCCTGGGCGGGGCAAGTGGGCAGGAGGACCTGGACCAGGAGACAGGGAACCAAAGGGACACCGCACAGTGGTTCAAAGAGCTCCTGAAGGACCTGCGCGGCCGCTACAACCAGAGCGAGGACGGTGAGCTTCGCAGAGCAGGGCCAGGGTCAGGTCACCCCCCCATTCCCACCATCAGGCCGGGGTGTCCCGAGTCTCAGGGTCCACTGACCCCTCGAGGCTGGTGATCTGCCAGGACCCTCCCCGGGAAGGGACTGTCCTGCCGGCCTTTCATTTCAGTTAGGGTTATTCAGGTGTGAGTTGGGGTGAGTGGGGGGCGACCTCCGGGCTGACTGCGGCGGGGGGGGGGGTGGCGCAGGGTCTCACACCCTCCAAAAATGTGTGGCTGTGAAGTGGGGCCAGACCTGAGTTTCCGCGGCGGGTATGAGAAGTTCGCCTACAAATGGCGCGGATTTCATCTCCCTGAGCGAGGACCTGCGCTCCTGGACCCCCGCGGACTCGGGGGCTCAGATCATCCAGCACGAGTGGGAGGCGCAGGAGGGCCGAGCACATCAGGCACAGTATACAGGGCAGGTGCTTCCTGTGGCTCCTCAGACTCCTGGAGATGGGGAAGGAGGTGCTGCAGCGCACAGGTAAGAGGGGCCACAAGGCCTCGGACCTCCCCTCACCTGGCGCCCCACAGGGAACATGGAATAATGGGCAGAACAGCACCTGCTTTCTGGGCAGAGAGGGAGGAGCCCCCTGGGTTTCATGTTCGTGCTAGAGAGACTCGCCCAGAAGACACCACTTTTCTGGACGGTTAAGGAATCCAGTCTCTCCTGAGGGAGGGAGGCCATCCTGAAATAACTCTCCCTGGATCCTTGTGACCCGGCAGCCATCCTGGAACCATGAGTTTCTCTTTCAAGGTCTTGGTTTTGGTCTGAGAACATTTCTGGATCTGACTCCTGCCTTTCTGTGTCATTCACCCTCCACCCAGGTCAGGAGCAAAAGTCTGTGTTCTTCTTAGAGACCTGCGTCCTCCTACCCTGGGCTCTCACCTGATTATGCCAGATTCTCCAGACTAGGCTGGTTCTGGGCTTTGTGCTTCCTCCCTCCAAACCAATTGTCATGTCCATTCTGAGGATGGTCAGTGAGGCTGCCTCAGTGTCCAGGAGGAAAAACCCAAAGTGTGAATTTTTTGTCCCTTCTCTCCTCAGATGCACCAAAGACACACGTGACCCACCACCCCACCTCTGAGCCTGAGGTCACCCTGAGGTGCTGGGCCCTGGGCTTCTACCCTGCGGACATCACCCTGACCTGGCACCGAGATGGGAAGAACCTGGCCCAGGACACGGAGCTGGTGGAGACCAGGCCTGGGGGGGATGGAACCTTCCAGAAGTGGGTGGCTGTGGTGGTGCCTTCTGGAGAGAGCAGAGATACACATGCCATGTGCAGCATAAGGGGCTGTTGGAGCCTACAGTCCTGACTTGGGGTGAGGAGGAAACGTGGCACAGGGCTTCTCAGGGGCATCAAGAGCCCTTTTGGAGACCGTCAGAGGGTCAGGATGTTCCTGGGGCTCAGGTCTCCCCTTCCCTTCCCTTCCAGGCCCCCTCCTCAGTCCTCCATCCCACCGTGAGCATCATTGCTGGCCTGTTTGTCCTTGGAGCTGTGCTCATTGTAGCTGCGGTTACTGCAGCTGTGAGGTGGAGAAGAAGCGCTCAGGTAGGAAGGGAGTGGGTGGTCTTGTTCACTGGGGCTTTCATGTCCCAGGAGAACTTGCCCTTCCTGGTTAGTAGGGAGTGTGATCCACACACATGTGTTGCCCAGTCTGGAGTTGATTGTGAACACTCACTGTTTGTAAAGCACTTATGAAAATGAATCACCAATTGTTCACCTTATAAATGTGGTGATGGGGATCTGTTTCCCAGGAAATGTCACAGGGAAGGACCCTGCTGTGGAAAGACTCCAATTCCCTTTCATATCCATTTTTCATAATATCCCTGTCCTGACCTGGGTCTCAGTCACAGTTCTAGAAACTTTCCTGTGACCAGAATTCGATTCCTTTAGGGCTCCATGGGCTGACTCCTCCCTTGCTCACATGAGGTTTCTCCTACAGGGGGACACACAGTCAGCTATAGTCAGGCTGCAGGTAAGTGTGGATCAGGAGTTGATCCCTGAGCCCCTGAGGCCAGTGTAGAGGGAACTCTAGGGGGAGTCACCCTCATTAGTTCCTCTGAGGGTCTCATCTCTGGGCTCTGACCAGGTCTCTTCTGTGCTTCCTCAGGCAGCAACAGCACCCAGGATTCTGGGATGTCTCTCACCCCCTGGGACACAGCAGAGGGGGCCAGGTTGTGGGGAGCTGTGAGTGGGACAGTCTTAGGAGCAGTTGGCTATTGCGATGTTATCACTTAATGTAACTCACCTGAATTTCTTCAATATTATTTTCCATCATAGAATGAGAGCTCTGCCTTGTGTGGGACGAATGTTATAGGATTTCCCCTCCCCATTTTGTAACTTCAGTATCCTCTGCTTTATTTAATTTTATTTGTTTTCTAGATATCAGTGAATGATATAAAACTTTTTATTAAATCTATTTATTTGTTCTCTTACATCATTTTTAATTTTTGTATAATATTTGATTTCTCTCTCAGGTGTAGTCCTTATAGTTCTCTCACTACCATAGCACCCATGATCCATCACTACAGTCCCTTGTGCTCTTCCCTCCCTGTTTGGAACCATCTTTCACCCTTCCCCCTGCTGTATGCCTCAGATCTAGGATCAGGCTGCAAGATTTGTCTTTATTCTGACTCTTTGTTTGATTTCTGTGTATCCCACATATAAAGGAAACTATCTGATATTTATTTTTTCCTTCCTACCCATTCATATTTCCCAAATGCATGAGTTTTATGTTTTGATCACTGAGTAGTATTCTACTGTATATATGGACCACACCCTCTTGATCCATTCATGACCCCCTGATTTAAAACAACAATGATAACCTGATTCAGGACATTTCCCAAGCCTGCGCTTGGGGAGTCTGATGCTTAGTTTCTGTTGCCTTCCCAAATCTGCTGCTTGGGGGAGTCTACCGCTTTGTTCTGCTGCTTGCTGTAGTGGAGAATT